AATAACGCGGATCTGAATCAGCAGACATCAATATGATACAAAAAAACTGATAGAGATTCAACTTTTCGAAATAAATGTATCATAAACAAAATATCTTATCAAGAAGCTTATAAAGTGTTTGTCCTAATAAAATAAATTTTATAACAAAAAAACAATCGATCGAAACTCGGTCGATATTTCATTGTTTGTTAAATTCTTAGAATATGAACAGAGAGAGAAAATCATTTATTCAAATAAACTTAATTTAAAAAATAGTCATAACAATTTGTTTTTTATCTACCACTCCACGATAAAAAGAACGAGCAAGAAATTCATTTTAATAAAAAAAAATCAATCAAATCTCAGTCGTCTAGATCCTAATAATATTATAAATGCGAAAGTCTGTGAGTTGTTGGATGTTTGTTACTCTTTCACGCAAAAATTACTTAACGGATTTTTGTGAAACTTTACAGTTATATAGCTTATCCATCAGAATAACACATAGGCTATATTTTTATTGAAATAACGCGGGCGAAGCCGCGGGTTACAATATGATACAAAAAGATAGAGACTCAACTTTTTTATGATAAAGTATCATAAACAAAATATCTTATCTGAAAGCTTATAAAGTATTTTACCTAATAAAAGTAAATTTTACAACAAAAAAAACAATCAATCGATTCTCGGTCGATATTTAATTTGTGCTGTTATTATGTTTTTATGTATGTTAGTCTATAATAGAATAGAATAGAATATATCTTTATTGCTAACTGTGTGGGTACGTTTTTTTTGTGGGTGGTATAACAATATATATAGTTGTGTATCAAAAAAAAAAACAATTGAAAATAAGAACAGTTGAAAATAATTTAACTGTTAACTGATCAAGGTTATGTTTTTATGTATGCACTCTATCGGGTATGCAACAAGGTATTTATAATATGGGCCATGCAGCCAGAATTATATAATATATGTAAAAGAAAATAAAGTTAATGTAATTTCGATAATACTCACGATTTCGAAATATATGCATAGTTCAATTGAGGTGCTGCATATTTTAGTGTTCTGAGTGTAAAGAGGCATTACTCTAGTACAGAAATGTATGGAAGCTTAATGCAAATCTGTTTACATTCAGGCCTTGTGTATGCAGTGAATCAGTGTTGCTTGGATGCATTCAGTATTCCTGTATTTTATGGGCCGTTACGAGTAAATAAACCGACGTTGCAACTCCGTGATTAGAATAAGGAAATTCGATATAAATTACATCTTCAGTTTATATATGGAAGGCAATTTTATATAATAGTTCTTTAATATAATATAAATAATCTTATGATTAAAAATTATACAAATAAATTAAATCCTAAGTTAGGAAAAAACTTAAACAACCTAAAAATTAAAGATTTAATAAATAAATGAATAACCTTTGAAATCTTCTGTTAATCATATTTGTATTATTTCTACTACTCATTTGGAACTCAGACTCATGACAAGAAGAATGAGCAAGAAGCTTGCCTGTTACTTTTTTAAATAAATAGAGTTCAGATATATTTTTTTTAAGAATTTGCGTGATTACAAACTGCCAAATATCAAAATTAAAGTTACATATATATATGCTGAATCAAAATTTACGTTGTTCAAAAATATTTTTTTTTAATTTTGTGTGATATTGGCCATAAATAAATATATGTGCCCATGTAAATTTTGAATATAGAAAAAATACAAAAAATAAGAACTGGAATATAAAGGACGCTCCGTATTTTTAACTGTATAAAACAAGAAAATTATTGAATGTTACAATATAATTTTTATGAAAATATACACTCTTAGAGTACGTGGTCACTAAACAGTACTACACATCGGGATGTTCCTGAGCAAAGGTGAGTATGTTTGGTGTTACATTGCTTATTTTGGGGTGTTCGGAGTGTGGAAGACATTCTTCCAGGTGGAAATCATATTTCTCCTTCCTTTTCCATTTATTATTTTCTTTTCAAAATATACAGTCTCTATTTTGTTTTTCCACTATCTGTACCTACAACTTCGTCCATGTGAATTATATTTTATTTGTCTGAAATAAAAGATTTTTTCTAAAATAAAAGTAGTCTAAGTTACTCCTTATTACATCAGCTACCTAACAATGAAAGTCCCGTCAAAATCAGTCCAGCCATTTCAGAGATTAGCCGGAACAAACAGACAGACAGACAAAAATGGTAAAAAATGTTATTTTGGTGTATGTACCATATTTATATTCATATTTATGTGATTCATCCCAGACCTGTCATATCATCATCATCATCATCGCAGCCCGGAAGACGTCCACTGCTGGACATAGGCCTCCCCAAAGATCTCCACGACGATCGGTCCTGCGCTGCTATCCATATCTTGACCAGATCGTCGGTCCACCTGTGTCAATGGTCACAATTTGTTAAATTTGATAAATTTAACTGCAATTCGATCTCACGTGTTGAGTTATTAGCCGGTTCGCATCAACCAGTGCCTTTATCAGCTTCAACCGCCCTTCCCGAGGGTGGTGCATCTTCGACATCAAAATTGCCGGATCGAAATTTAGCGAACCAGTTCTGGCGCTGGTGTACTGTTAACACACCTTCTCCACACACATCGGTCAATTTCTTTCGGGCTTGAACAGCATTTTTGCCTTTCTGTAGTAAAACAGTAAAATATGTCGAAAATGCTGCTTATTCCTCTCCATATTTATAAGGGCACCAACCAAAAATTACTGCGTAGAATTAATTGGAAATTTTCACACACAAGCATTGCTATATGAGCTCTCAAAGCATATAAAAATTATACGGCTTAAGTGTGAACTGGGTGCAAAAAATACAATTAAATCCTCAGCCAGGAAGAAACGAAATTACTTTCCGAACAACCTAATATATTAGTGAATTAAAGATTTAATAAATAAATGAATAACCTTGAAGAGTTCTCATAGTGCCATCTAGTCCTAAGTTAAGTAGATCTTCTGTTATGGGTACTAAACAACCGACATATATTTCTTTTGTAATTAATACATTATAGAAAACAAAAAACCAGATACAATCGTACTTATGAATACAAATGTTATAAAGAATCGAACACACGACCAATCGGAAGTAAGGCGGACTAAACTACTAGACCACCGTGGCTATATATTAACAGTACTATATAATGGTCATGGTAATAAATGCAATTTATTACAAATTGCGTACTTACAATAAATCAATATGATAGAACAAAGACATGAGACTGTAAGCGGTCGGTTTCATTTTAGACGACTGTGCTGACATGGCACTATACTGATATATGTCTAGTCGTTCAATTTTATTAACGTCTCCATAATACTGCAGAGATAAGTTACATATATATATGCTGAATTGGAAATTCGTTTCTTGTAATATCCTCTGAATTTATTTCAATAGATTCTTTAAGATAGATCTGATCTATTTCTGCAAAGCAGCTTAAATTACAAGCTATATTTCGATGTTAAACGATATATATATATAGATATTAGACGACCTCGGTGGTCTAGCGGTGTAGCACACCGCTTTTCGTCCAATGGTCGCGGGTTCGATTCCTCGCACGGCATAAACCTTTGTATTCATGAGTATGATTGTTTGTATCAGTCTGGGTGTTTTCTATGTATATTATGTATGTATTTACGAAAAAGAAATTATCTATGTATTTGTATCAGTTATCTAGTACCCATAACACAAGCTTTAGCTAGCTTAACTTGGGTCTAGATGGCGCTGTGTGAATTGTCATGAGATTATTATTATTATTATTAGGAATAATACAGTAATATATATTTATTATTATTATACAAACGATTTAAATAAATAACAATAAGTAACCTGGACAATCCACTCAAGGCTTACTTACTTAGTCCTAAGCTAAGCTGAGCTTGTATTATGGGTACTAGATAATGTATAATAATTTGCCAGAATCTAACATAATCTGACAGAGACGCAATTCAAAATTTATATTAAACAAATGTTATATAAAAAGCCTATTATAGGATAGATGAATTTATAGATGATAGCAATATCTAGCAAGAATAAGTTTTTTTGCGGACGACGTTATAATTTCTTTTTCATACTGATTAATTGATATATGATAGCGTAGCGGCTTTTGTATTGATTGCCGCATGCATCCTTATGTAAAGTGCGAATACTGTAACTACCATATAATAAATTTAAGTAGCTATAACGAGGTCGAGTGGAATGAATAGTCAAATAAAATGTCCAGACATGTGGCGGCGTGGTGGGCCAGGGCATTGGGCTCCCTAAAATATGGTCGAGTGCAGTGATGGCTCATCCGTCATACTCGTGAACGAGTGCTGCTTGTAGGGTCTGGTCTGCTCTTATTACTACGACTGATTTAATCTTTTTGTGTTTTTATATTTGACCATAAATAAATTAGTGTTGGTTGGTAGTTTGTATTCACACGTTTCGAATTATAAAATGTGAACTTACAAGGATTGTTTAAAAGAGCAATACATAAGTTTCTTGCTTATTCTTCTTGTGATGAGACAGCTTTCCGAATAAGGGGTAGATATATAAAAAAAATTGTTGATTATTCAAAAGTGCTTAAATTAAGTTTATTTGAATAAATTATTTTCTATTCTATTCTATTTTATACTGTAATTACTTATTTTCTTTATAAATACATAATATACATAGAACACACCCAGACCCCCAGAAACAATCAGACTCATGAATACAAATGGTTTGTACCGTGGGCGGAATCGAACCCGTGTATCGAAAAGTAAGACGGCGGATCGAGTGAATAAACAGGTGTACATAAGGATAGGACTACGATAGGATACGACTTTATATTATTATTACAAAGTTTTTGTTACAGCATCATCTGTTAATTAATTTTCTTACTCATTTAAACTATTAGGCAGATGGATCAATAGCCAAAGTCGTAATAAATAAAAAAAAAATCCACTAACAGCGTCATCTTCTAAACGTCACTATTCTGTATACGATTTAACACAATTTAGATGATTTTTATAATATTTGTTAAAGATGGATGAAAGCTTGGGATATAATGAAAACGAGAGGATACTAGTCACTTCACAATGGCAGATGGGCGTTACGAGTGCGCTCTCTTTCGAGACAGAAGGCTCCACAATGTGCCTACAAACACAAAAGAATAATCTCCAATTAATACAGAAGGTTATTTAATTTATTTTTTGCCATATCGGTATTTTATTTATTTTACCAATAATAAACTGGTAAGAGTGTCGTAACTTTAGTGGTCCAGTATAATAATAATAATAATCTCAGGATAATTCACACAGCGCCATCTAGACCCAAGTTAAGCTAGCTAAAGCTTGTGTTATGGGTACTAGACAACTGATACATATACATAGATATTTTTTTTTGTAAATACATACATATTATACATAGAAAAAATTGTTTGTGCTGTGCGAGGAATCGAACTCGCGACCATCGGTCGTAAAGCGGTGTGCTAGACCGCTAGACCGAGGTCGACAAAAGTATATTAATATAATATATAATCAAAATATCGTGAATTCAAATCTGCCTAACACAAAATAACTTTAATGATAACTTACATTTCTAACTGATTTGTACTTTTAGCTAATAAAAGTACTCAGATACTTTTTTTAATGTTTTTGTAAAACATAATGCGTAGAAAACATTGAGACCAATAGAAACAATCATACTCTTGAACAACAAAATACCCTCTTCGGTTGATTCCCGGTCCAATTCAAACGGGGATCGAAAATACGACGGCCTGAACCGAGGTTCGAACCCCTAGCAGTGCCCTCAGACTAAAGTCGTATCCGTCAGATGGGAGTTGGCCTTCAGCCGCTCTATAAGTACTTCCGCGTCTTCGGAATGATATCGTCCGATAAACTGCGACTTTACTTATTTTATTCAATATTATTTTTCGAACTAATCTCTTATAGTTCGAATAAAAAAATTAATACAATGTTAACATCTTACGAGGATTCAAACCCATGATAGTAAAGTGGTGTGCCAAACTCGTAGACCACACAGATTGTCCTTGTTAGTGTATTTACACGACCGCTAGACGACCTCGTTGGTCTAGCGGTCTAGCATACCGCTTTACATCCGATGGTCGCGGGTTCGATTCCTCGTGCGGCACAAACATTTGTATTCATGAGTATGATTGTTTGTATCGGTCTGGGTGTTTTCTATGTATAATATGTATGTATTTACAAAAAAAAATATCTATGTATTGTATATGTATCAGTTATCTAGTACGCATAACACAAGCTTTAGCTAGCTTAACTTGGGTCTAGATGGCGCTGTGTGAATTCTCCTAAGATTATTATTATTATTTACTTAGAATAACATTTATTTAAAAAACAACACAAGTTTCTTTCTCATTCTTCTTGAAATGAGCCTGTATTTCTATCCTATTCAATTCTATATGCCATAAAGTAGATCGAATTAAATAAATAAACGTCTCTTTGTTGCGATCACAAATTCTCTTGGTATATTTGGTTCAGTCGGACGATAGTCTTATGCGATTACCATTCGATTGGCAGATTTCCAAAGAGGGCTAGGCATACCAATCAAATGCGCCAATCAATGCAACACTCGTCCGACTGAACCCTATCAATATAGTAATATCTCCAGATAATTCACACAGCGCCATCTAGTCACAAGCTAAGCTGACTTTTTGATCTGGGTACTAGACAACTTATATAAACAAAATAGTTTTTTTTTGGGAATACATACATAACAATATACATATAAAACACCCAGACCAATACAAATTATTTACACAGCGCCTCTTTTTTCTTTTTCTTATTTTGTGTTATGGGTACTAGACAACTGATATAAATACATAATATATTTTTTTTGTAAATACATAGAACACACCCTGACCAATACAAACAATCATACTCATGAATACAAATACTTGTACCTTGCGAGGAATCGAACCGGAGATTATAGGAAGTAAGGCAGTGTACTAGACCATTATGGCTGGTGAAAATTATGTTCACAACGAGTAAGGAATAATCTTTTTGAACTTAATTACAACTTCTTGATAATGAAATGGTAACAAACATATAAACAGAGTACACTTTAATTAGAGTCGTGTCTGAATTTGTAATTCTTATCAGTTATTACAATGGTTTCCTTAATTGCTAACGTTATCTGAAAGGGTTCTTAGAATGGATGCAACGTAACCATAAATTGTAGCGTAATTCGGTCAGTATCTTACAAGGACGTTATACAATTATATTTAGATAGATATAACATACTTTATTTGTCATATACAGTAAACAAAAAAAAAGTTTATAGTAAATAACACATGGATAATTACAATAAGGCCTTATTGCTGAAAGCAATATCTTAAAGGAAACGTTGTTTACTAATATTATAAAAGAGAAAGCGGATATATGTGAGGAAAGTAGTGGACTGCAGCGCTTTGAGAATTTCTCTCATTGTTTTTTTTTTCAATGAATGAATTTAGAAACGACTTTCCAATTCTATTAAGCCCCTCTTTCACTCTTTGCAGTTTTAAAGGCTAATATACTTTACAGTGTCAAAGTACCATATATATATATATATATTAGGTCAATATTTTTTATACTACATTTGTGGCAAACAAGCATACAGTTCATCTCATCAGAATAGAATAGAATAGAATAGAAAATCATTTATTCAAATAAACTTAATTTAAGCACTTTTGAATAGTCAACATTTTTTTAAATCTACCGCTTATTCGGAAAGCTGTCTCATCACAAGAAGAATAAGCAAGAAACTTGTGTGTTGCTCTTTTAAACAATCCTTGTAAGTTCACATTTTACAAGTCGAAACGTGTGAATACAAACTACCAACCAGCACTAATTTATTTAGGCTCAAATATAAAAACACAATAAGATTAAATCAGTCGTAGTGATAAGAGCAGACCAGTCCCTATAAGCAGCACTCGTTCACGAGTATGACGGATGAGCCAGCCATCACTGCGCTCGACCATATTTTATGGAGCAATGACCCGCCCCACCACGCCGCCACATGTCTGGACATTTTAGTGAGCATGACTACTCATTCCACTCGACCACGTCACAGCTACAAAAATTACTATATGGTAGTTACAGTATTCGCACTTTACATGAGGATGCATGCGGCAATCAATACAAAAGCCGCTACGCTATCATATATCAAGAAAGCAGTATGAAAAATAAATTATAATGTTGTCCGCAAATAAACTTATACTTGCTATATATTGCTAACATCTATAAATTCATCTATCCTATAATAGGCTTTTTTACATAACATTTGTTTAATATAAAGTTTGAATTGCCTCTCTGTCAGATTTAGCATAGATTCTGGCAGTTTATTATAGAATCTTACGCAATTACCATAAAATGAATTGTCAATCATCAATCATCAATCATCTGATGGTTTAATAAATATTAATATATGGTATATTATTGAAAAACCCCGTGCTGTAGTATCATGAGTAAACTTCGGCTGGTAGTTCATTCCACAATTAAGTGTACTCGGGAGGAACCTCCTCTAAAACCGCATTGTCCGGGACCACTTAGGTTCTAGCGTGTGGGGATGAATTTCCTGTCGATGGCGAGCGGTGCGATGGTAAAAAGTAGGTGTACCTTTTACCATAGCACTTGTGGGTCGAAACCCTAAAAATACGTATATACTTTCTATTGTACACCCACACAGACCATCGTCAGTCAAATTGGCGCTGAATACGCGTCAAATGACACTTTTTATGAAATATATAACACGGCATAATATTTTCCTGCTCCTTTGATGTCCGTTTTCCTTTTCAACAATTCAAATATATTATAATTTAACATTATTGTTTCATACAATAATAATCTTTCAATTGTTTTTCTTATATTGTCGTATAAAATGATAGGACAAAATCTCAGTATTAATATATATAAAAAAGTTTAATTGTAAGTACCTAATTGAGTGCTCACCAAATCTTTTGTAGTTATTATTTTAATATATGATTATATATTGTATGTTTACTAAAGGAACAGCTCCAGATACTCCTAATCACAGGTTATTGAGACACTTACATAGGAGGTCAGTTTAACCCTCTTTACTGCTTTGTATAGTTTTATATAAATTTTATTTTAAAATCAATTGTAACTACTGTAACCTTTCTTGGGTCAATAAATTATATTTCATTTCGTTTTATATAAAAAAAGTAACCATCTACAACTCAGCGCAACAAATAAAAATAAGTTTTTGTTTTCTAAACATAGATTTTTTAACGTACTATGATACATACACGCATATATACTCTTTTGTATATTGTTAAAGTCTATGGTCAAATTGAGAATAGATTAATATATTCGTCTATAGTCTAACTGTTTATTAAATTATTTATAATTGAATAAAACCATCGGGTGACAACTATCATCATTACATAGTATATAACAAAATCACTGTCGCTGTCTGTCCGTCCCTATGTATGCTTAAATCTTTAAAACTACGCAGCGGTTTTATTTTAATAAATAGAGTGATTCAAGAGGATTATAATACATGTACACCCGTGCAAAGCCGGGGTGGGTAGCTAGTTTACTATAAAACTAAATTTATAACCGAATATATATTTATATATTTCAGAAAAAAATTCAATCAGAGCGTCCAACTATACCAGCGACTCAATCGCAAAGGCTGGCCTACTACCGATGTCACGCGACTTCTCCTTCCAAAACACAGATCATATGCATGCAACATGTACAGTTCAACAGGTATATATACAGATAGATTAAATATGTATATATTTATATGTTCGTTATATAATTGTGATGGTAATGAAGCTTACAGATCATCATCTGCTTCTTCCTTATCCCATTTATTTGTGGTCGACGTAATATATTTTTCTCTTCCATTCATATCTGTTTGCAGTCATCTCGTATATTAGAGAGAGAGTAATCTTTCTTATCATATCATCTTTCACACAATCCACCCATCTCTTCTTCGGCCTTCCTCTGCCCTTATAACCGCCCACATTCATACGTAACACCTTCCTTATAATATTATCTTCATTCCTACGCATTATATGCCCACACCATGATAGATGATTACTCTTCAATCTTTCCGACACCGGCGCCACTTCCATTTTTAAGTAATTGTAATGGCTATTAAGCTTACAAGACCATCATCTGCTTCTTCCTTATCTCATTTATTTGGGGTCGGTGTATGTTTTTCTCTTCCATTCATACCTGTTCGCAGTCATCTCGTTGTTTACTCCCTTTTATATCATATCATCTTTCACATATTCCATCCATCTCTTTTTCAGCTTTCCTTTGCCATTATAATCATCCACATTCATATGTGACACCTTCCTTAAAATATTATCTTCATTCCTACGAATTACGGGAGTAAATGTAATGTTCTTACTATATTTGCCACGACAATCAAGTTTACAGACCATCTAATGGTAAACAGTAACTAGTATCCTAGGACCGCTAAAATAAGAAAGAAAGAAAGAAAAACATTTATTGTCAACCATTATTACATATACACCTTTGACACACACTCATATACATATATACATACATACATACACACTTAGAACAAAATAGCAGGTGTATCACCCAGCTGACCTTTAAGAAACCTTAAGGTTGGGTACATTCTTCATTTCTTAAAAATCCCGATGCTGTAGTATCTGGAGAATACCTAGGCAGGCAGTTCATTACATAAGTGTAGGAGGAAACTCTAAAAGCGCACTGTCTTTTACTAAATACTTGTTTGTTATTGACGATCTAAGTGGCCTAGTTGTTAAGAACACCTCTTTACTTCTGATGGTAGCAGGTTCAATTACTTCCATGGACAAACAATTGTATTCATGACTATGATTGTTTGTACTTGTATGTGTGTTATCTAAGTATGTACTGTATATATTTATAAAAAAAAATGTAACTAATTCTGTGAGTTATTTAGTACCCAAAGATCTGTTTAACTTGAAACTGGACTAGTTGGAGCTGTGTGAATTTCCCTGGATAATAATTATAGTTAATGTTTAAAAATTCATATTGTTTTACAGATTTTTATGGTATTACATATTCAACTTGTTTTTCAAGAGTGTTCCACATACATACGTATACATTTTCCTAGCTTCCTATGCTGAAGAAGAACATTTCTTTTTGCCTAAAATGGTGCCTATATGCTGTGGTAATTATTTATAATAAATATAATTAAATATACTTTCATTTTTAATAATAGGCTCAATACATTATTTTTATATTTTACGTTACTTTTACATATATTTTTGTAACGCAATGATGAAACGATGTAATAAAACAATCCATTTTATTTTCTTATTTCATTCGAATTCTGCAGTCATTGATACGAATATCATTATATATAATAGTATTAATAATAACTCAACTGAAGTAGTTGGCCGGTAGAGTTAGTGAGTAAAAATATGACGTGCATAAGAGGTAGTAAGGTTCTATTTCAATAAATGATTTTGATAATATTTCAGGTCTAAATATTGCTTACATTATAGCTGCGATTTTGGAAATATTTTGCTATGTTGACAACGCGATATTCTTATTAGACTATGCTATATGTGGGATATTTTTCAAAAATCCATGGAACAGGTAAATATATATTTGTATTTGAAGGCCTCGGTAGTCTAGGAGGCACACAGCCTTAATTTCGGTCTGGATGATTTCTATGGATCTGTGTACCAGTTGTCTAGTATCCATAACAATAGGAAAATTCTATCAGGAAAATTCACCAGGAGTTTATCACTCATCAGGTTTTTGAGGAACCGCGTGGACAACCTGATAATGTATATTGCAATGGGGTTATTTTTCTGCGTTACTAACAATTTTTTTTTCACTGTTATATTTATATTAATATATATACTATGTTCTTACAGATGTGATGTTAAATCTAATTATATCGAAAGTCTTAACATTTCCGTAAACTGTTACGAATTGGAAGAATTCTCCAAGAAATTTGTAAACGGCACATCTGTATTCTATTCTATATTCTATGTCACAGCTGATACAGAATATTTTCAACTCGCACCTATTGAATATTTTAAGTAAGTATAGAGATGAACTTCCTAACATTCCATGGATGAATTTACCGTGCGGGTGTCGGGTCCATCGTGTGGTAGAGAGGGAAACTTCTAGAAGTTTCCCACTTGTGACTGGGGTGTAGTTTTAAGGGGCCACTTTGCCGACGTACTTCAACACTCACCATCTCCTCTTCACGCTTGATCTCTTTGCCCTTCTTAATCTAGTAGGATCCTGCTAGTACTGCTTTAGACACACTTTCTAGTATACAACCAAGATCAAGGCCAAGATCTTTAAGAAGATTTAGAAGAGAAAGTATTTCGCTAGTACACCTCTTGTTACATCTTCTACCGCATATAAATTAAACACATATCCATTTTACAGAAATTCGTTCATTAGTTCGTAATATTGATTTCTTTTTATTGCATGATCTTTTGATATATTTGTTTTCCAAGATACAGTGAGCTCTACTAGTATTTCACGGTTAGTTTTTTTTAAATATAGGAATATATCTGGTCTAGACGATGAAACATTTATACCTAGATCCTCTTGGATTTTGTAATGCATTTCATATATCTACATTAAAATAGTACAGTTAGGTGCCATACTTAGAATTGATAACTTCTTTTTGCAGGTATGAGTAGATACTTTTTTTTAGAAAGTAGTAGATTATTGACAGTCTCGGTAGTCTAGCGGTAAAGCATACGATGGTTCCGATAGTTGCGGATTCGATTTTTCGCAGGGTACAAAAAATGAACCATAGTACAAACATAACATTTCTATTCATGAGTATGATTGTTTGTATCGGTCTGGGTGTACTGGTGTGTGTGTATACAGGGTGTACTGGAGGTACTATGTACAATATGTATGTATTTAAAAATGTATCTATTTATTTATAATAGTTGTCTAAATGACGCTATGTGACATGTTCTGAGATGATGTTATTATAATATTTTATTGTTAACAAATTATTATCAAATTTTGTTTCAGGAGACGTATAACATTTGTAGATGGTTGGAATTACTCTTATATAAATTTTTATTTTATATTCATGTGGCTCTTGGTAGCCTTACATTACAAGGCCTTATTCAAGAAGTACGTTTGGGTGGTAAGTTTCATTGTCACATACTAGTTGTAACTTGCAACTTCGCTTATTTTTTGTGACAAAAGATAAGTCATGAGTTCCATATCCATTCTTGTTATATAATAGATCTTCTCGTCTTCCGATGTTATATCTTGAAAAGGTGCAAATAAATAAATACATTTGGATTTATAATATTCTAACTGACTTATCTTTATCTCTTTAACACTGTTTTATGAATATTTTCCATGACAATTCCGCTTTTATTTATCGAAGCGTAATTTTATGTAGTCTATAGCCTTCCTTGATAAATGAGCTACCCAATAGAAAAATATTTTTCTAAATTGGACGATTAGTAGGGACTTGAGATTACATCAACACCTCACTTCAAATTCGGAAATCTTATCACTTCATAATATTAGTTTAGTAACGTAAACACAAATATTCTTTATAACACACATAATTGACAAACATATTCACGTATTATTGTGTGATTAAGATATAGACTTTATCCTTTTTAGAAGTTTTCTATAAGATTGCATTTAACTCGTTTATGATTGCAATAATATTAATAACAGTTTTTGTTTTAGCATTTGAACAGGGTACAATTAGCACTGAATATTATGTATGTATCAGTTTTTGTGCATCTAGTGCTAACGTACTTCATGGAACATTTGGATAAACATATAGAAGTTACTAGTCCTGTTGATGAGCTGACCAATAAATTATGGGTATTTCCTTCATTATATTTCCTTTTCGTTCCTCTATTATATTAGTGGTAGTTAAATCGGGTTAACAAATCACTAGATTTGTTAACCCGATTTAATTTTCATTCTGAGTGAGTTCAAATTGGGTTGATACTTGATACTAAAAAAACTTTTTATATATTTTTTACAATTAGATGTTATTTTGGGGGAGTCCATTTCCTTACTTGATTGATTTGTAATACCACATATTAATGTGGAAACCTGACCACCTCTACAAGAAGCATCACAACTTGCTGTACCAGTGATCAAATTCCGACCATATTTCGACGTTATATGATCATATTTCGACGCGTGTTTTACCTTTGAACGAGTCATCATTAGGCATTGAGTAGAGTTCGGATATCGCTTGGAAGCCTAGTGTTGACTGATCATCATAAAGTGACAGCGATCACTTAAGACGATCAGTCAACACTAGGCTATGATGTCAGTCAATGACTATCAGTCAAATCGAATCACAAATGATTTATTTATGTAGAAGATATGAATGTCAAGTTTTTTGTATACAATACTTTTTCCCTATGATAGGGATGGTAGAGAAAAAATATTAATACAATCCTCTACTGGTCCCTATCTTACTGATCCCTGCCATAAAGACTAGTAGGGACCAGTCCTTATAGTGATCTCTAATTAACATATATTATTGATTGTATTTTTTTTTATTTATATTACGTCATCAGAGTAAGATATAATTATTATTTAATAATTTATTTTAATTATCAATTATTTTTATTGATTTGTTTTAGAAAGCTGACGTAGATATGCTAGCAGAATCCATGACTACACCTCCAGTAGTCCATATATTGACAGCTAGGAGTGATGGAGAGGTAAATAAATAAGCAGAGGAAGAGTGATTTAGTAATAGTATTATTGATTTTGTTAATAGAATATTAAGGTAATGTACGTTCTGGGTCAGCTATATGTTCTTGAAAATCAATATGGGTAATTCGTAGATATATACGATTGGAGTGTCATCTAATATTAATTAGAAATGATATTTCTATCTGGTAGTCCAGAAGATTGTTTCCCATAACAATTTTTTTTAAAATAACTTTTAAACATCAAATTACAATTATTACAATTAATAGAAAAAAAACTACTAGGACATATAAAGTGATCTATAATAATAATATTTAATTATTTCAGGCTTTTTTGCCTCTTTCGTTAGAATTACAATTTTTAGAGTTAATTTTCGCAAACAAAACATATTTTATGAAGTCAATTAAAAATATACATCAACTGGTATTTTCCATATATTTTTTTATACTACTACTGTGGTAAACACAACATACGGATCGTCCAATGGTAACAGGTTACCATAGCTTTATCATATGGTAAAAGCCTTATCCTATGGCCGTATACTCTGTTTGCTAGCCTTGGACGCTAGCAAACAGAGTATACGGCCCATCTGATGGTAACAGATTACAGTAGTCTATGGACGCCTAAAACACCAGGGGTGTCAACCGACCCTTAATAATCATTAATATACCCTTCTTGAAAAACCCCATGCTGTAGTCTCGCGAGAAATCCTCGGCAGGTAGTTCATTAACAATCTAAGTGTACGCGAAGGCAGTTTTTCTCCGAGTTTCTTCGTCTGAGATCACTTAGGTTCCAGCGCATGGGGATGTCGATAGCGAGTACTGCAATGGTAAAAGGTAGCCGTGGCTATATTAATTTATGCTATATGTTTCAGATCCAACCAAGTCGGGACAGTTCAATGATTTTAGCATCAAATGCAATATATTTCATATTTAGAGGCCTACTCTCGTATAGAGTAAAGAAGTACTGTGAATCATTGGCGAAAGCACCTATTTATTTAACGGATTTTAGTAAGTAGTAAAGAGTGTATTAATATATAGTAGTTTTTTAATATTACTAATCTTATATATAAAATTCTCGTGTCACAGTTTTCGTTCCGATTCTCATGAAATTTTGTGAGCGTATTGAGTAGGTCTGAGAATAGGCCATCATCTATTTTGCATCCCCCTAATTTTTTTTTATTTTAAGGCAAAACAACGTTAGCCGGGACAGATAGTAATATATATATATATATATATATGTATAATAAATGCGAATGTTTGTGAGTTAATGGATGGATGTTTGTTACTCTTTTGCGCAAAAACTATTGAACGTATTTTGATGAAGTTAAAGTTTCATAGCAAAGAAAAGTAATGTATATATATAGTAAAGTATTATGACTTATACATGAAAATAACCCATAGATTATAATTTAAATATATATTATCTGTTTGTGGGCGCGTTCAAAAATTAATGAGAATAGCTATGTTAGAAAATGAATTTATTTAATGCTAGCTGTACCCGCGACTTCGTCCGTGTGAAATTTAACTTTATTTTTCTAAAATAAAAGATTTTTTTCTAAAGTAAAACTAGCCTAAGTTACTCCTTATTACATCAGCTACCTGCCAATAAAAGTCTCGTCAAAATCGATCCAGCCCTTTCAAAGAATAGCCGGAACAAACAGACAGACAGACAGATAAAAATTTAAAAAAATATTATTTTGGTGTATGTATCATATTTATATTCATATGCATGTAGTAAAAAACGTTTATTTCAATATTACAAACGGACACTCCAATTTTATTTATATGTATAGATTATTTTATTTTTAAATGTAATCCACCCATTAGGTACTCACCCAATACATTTAGCAAATCTTTTTTCTAGAACCAAAATTCCATTTTTGAAACATCTTCATATTTTCTACCATAATAAAAATAAAAAGAAAACAAATTTTATGCAAGTAGTTTGATCCAGAGAAAAAAGTAACATACAAATCAACTTTCCCAAGTTGAATTATATGTTGCAGTAAATATACTCTAGTATACTACTGTATAAGTACAAACAAAAAAACAACTAACTCAAAGTATTAAACGCACTTATTTTCCTTTCAGATCAACATTCATTTTTCTATTTCTGGCCAATTTACTTCTCCAGTTTTTACCTCGGTGACATTTATACCAATATATTTTTTCTTCTCAACTTCTTAGTGGAGACTTTCGTTATTGTTAGTATGAAGTTTTCAATTAATTTTTTTTTTATTTATATAACTTTAATGCATGAAAGTAATGTGTTCATATGGCTGCCTTAACACTTTGTGACGTTATCTACCAGGCAACCATGAGTGGTGCAGAGAAAGATTATTAGCGGTACAATAATATAATACCTATAACTCAAGCTCTAGCTTGCTTAGCTGTGTACTGTATGAAAAAAAAAAAATTATAAAAAAAAAATTTATTTTTTTTTTATAAAAAATTTTATATTTTAAAATAATTATTTACTGCCCAACATACAATATATCGTATCATAGGACACCCAGATTCATACAGCACCCAGCTAAGCTAGCTAGAGCTTGAGTTATGGGTCTAGATACAAATACATATATTTGTATCAGTTGTGTAGTAGTATAATGTATTGTATGTACACATTTTTTGTAAAAACATACACAATATACATAGAAAACATTCACATTCATACAAACAATTATACTTATGAATGTTTGTACCGTGCGAGGAATCGAACCCGCCATCTAGACTACTGAGGTCGTCAAAACATTACAGATAATCACATACCAGTGTTTAATAGAAGCGATCGTATGCGAGTGGCCGAAGATCAAAAGAATACCCATTACCTGTGTCTTGATCTTGGCTGGTTTAATTATTTATCATTTATCTAATTTTGAAGTAAGTATAATTTATATATTAAATACGTGAAACAAAAATTTTGCATCCCTTTTTATGACAAATGCGCGGACGGATGGGTATGAATTTCGCACGTTTACAAAACAAAGTCGCTGTCGCTGTCTGTCCGTCCTTATATATGCTTAAATCTTTAACTACGCAACGGATTTTGAAGCGGTTTTTTTAAATAGAGTGATTCAAGAGGAAGGTTTATGTATATAATACATGTATACCCGTGCGAAGCCGGGGCGAGTAGCTAGTAATCTATATATTATTAGTATTAATACGTGAAGCAATGTTGTACCCCTTTTTACGAAAATGCGCGGGCGGATGGGTATGAAATTTCGCACACCTATACCATATATAGATAAGGAGTGCAGAATAATATTCAAATAAAACTAGCTGACTACACGAACATCGTTCTGCCTCAAATATAAGTATGTCAAAGGTTTTCTGAAGTTTAGTTACGCAATAAATTTCTGAACGTACCCTGTTTGACTGGTATCAGCAGTTTGTATGGGAAAATACATTGTTATTTTTGCTATTTTACATGCATTTTCTTCATATTTTATCAACGTTTAAATCTTCCCTGGACTTCCATGTATATTTCAAGACTAAAATTAGCCAAATCGGTTCAGGCGTTCTCTAGTTTTAGCGATACTAACGAACAGCAATTCATTTTTATATATATAAAGATTATGCATAAAAAAGACATTAAATTAATAAAAAAAAAATCACTACCATGTATTTGACACACATGCGCATATATTATAGTTTATCATGCAGTAAAAAATATTACAAACAGATACTCTAATTGTATTTATATGTATACCCAATACTCCATTTCATTATTTGAAACAAATTAATATTTTCTACCATAATAAAAATTAAAAAAAACAAATTTTATGCAAGTAGTTTGATCCAGAGAAAAAAGCAACATACAAATCAACTTTACCAAGTGTTAAAGTCTTTGGTCAAATTTAGAATAGATTAATATTTTTTGTATGTAATATTATTTGTCTATGGTCGCAATCTAAATATATATAACTCAAAGGTGACTGACATAGTGATATAACAACGTACAGCACAAACCACTAGACAGATCGGGCTGAAATTTGGCATGCAGGTAGATGTTATGACGTATGCATCCGCTAAGAAAGAATTTTGATAAATTCTACCCAAAAGGGGATAAAATAGGCGATAAAAGTTTGTATGAAACTTTGTCAATTTTAAACCGATCGGGCTGCGACTTTGCATGCATAAATAATAATTATAATGTAATAATAATGTTTATTGAACTAATATTTAGTACAGCCTTGACAATATTCTTACAAAAATAAAATAAGCTACTATGATGTAGGCATCCTCTAAGAGAAGATATTGATAAATTCCATCCCTAAGGGGATAAATTAACGCGAGCGAAGCCGCGGGCAAAGCTAGTGTTAAAATAATTGTGGTCGAAGTCGACCACTGGGGAGCACTAGTATATATAAATGCTACTAAAGTATCTTCATGTCCTGCAGTATATATCTCTCATAGCGTATCTCATAGCGTAAAAACTCGTCTGTGTCGGTTCTTCAGTCACCAATGTGTTTACAATGTGTTTACAAGCTGCTTCTCACCAATGAGCAGCTTGCATTGTAAGCTGTTTCTATTAAAGGTTGCCATTGGACAGTGAAATTACGTAACATAAGAGATATAACATTTTGATCCTCCGGTATGGTAACGCATGAGTATCACGAGCATAATGAGCATTTATTGTTATTTTTTTTACTTTTAATTTAACAGCTTGTCAGTGTAGGACAGTTTTGACCTCAAATGCTGTCGTTGGCGTTGTATTTTTAATATAATAATTTACTGATAAAGTCTTTAGCAGAATAGCAGCACAATGCTATTACAGCATTGTGCTGCTATTCTGCTCTCGCTATTCTGAGTTGTAACTCAGAGGGAGTCCACCCTCTAGACTCATTGCCTCTGATTTGCAGACCGTTTAGTCTAGATTAATACCACTTAATTTTATTATATTATAAGCAGCAATTTTTATAGTTTATTTTATGATATAAATAAAAATAATTGTGATTATTGTGGAATATTAATAATTTAATTATTTGTCAGAATCGTATGATGGTTCATATATATAGCAAAAGTATAACCTCACTGGCCGAAGTTATTGGTATATATATACTTTACCCTTTGGGACGATTACTCGACGACATTACCTTCCATCATGGTGTTGCTCCGAATAAACTAAGAATTTTGAATTTAAGATTCGTACCCATATTTTATACTGTAAGTACAAGACTATTAATTAAGCAAATATATATTTAAATGTCCATACCAGAGGTTCCCAAACTTTTTTATGTCGTGGTTGGTTTTGGGTAGACCGCCCATTCTTATCTGGTATTGATTTTTTGTAAATTTCTAACCGTAGTAAAGTTTAGTGTTAAAAACATAAAGTAAAAACAACAAGATAACCGCTGTGTCACAGTTGCCCCCTTGCAGTTCGTCATAGACCCCTGGGGGTCGATATAGACCACTTTGGGAATCACTGGTCTATACAAATCAATAACATTGAAGAATTACCAGACTTCACGAAATTCAGATTCATAAATGTAATATGGTATTTACATAAAAAAATAATTTTAAAAAATTTTGTATGTCTGTCTGTACTTGCTAAACTTTCAAAGGGCTGGAACGATTTTGATAGGACTTTCACTCGCAACACTAAGGCTACCCTAGTACTCAGACTACTTTTAATTAAGAAATTTCATTTGTTTGAATGAACTTTTGTTGTGAGGCATATAATTTTTCCCATTGACATGGATAATGTAATAACATTAAAGAAACTTATTATAAATTTTGTAATGACATATTGTAAATTAAATAATGTAAATTTAATATTGTAATGGGTGAAAACTGGCCTATGCTGTAAATAATATGATTGACGTAGTGGAGTAACCTGAAACAGTCATGCTCGCTATAAAGTTCAAACTTGTGGCGGCGTGGTGGGCCGGGTCGAATATGGTTGAGTACAATGATGGCTGGCTCATACGTCATACTCGTGAACAGGTGCTGCTTGTGGGGACTGGTCTGTTCAGGTTGTGAACACTGATTAAATATTTTGTTCTTTGCGATAGCATATGCTGGTGGTCACTCTATTCTCCCAAATTTGAATTTTAATAACTGTATTTATCATAAACATGTTCCACTATTATTTGAAAAAAATACGAGCTGAGTTTCTTGTCAGTTCTTCTCATCTCGATATCATTCCGAACTGACGGTAGATTTGACATATCATAAGAGTCTGTAATAGACCTACATGAATAAAGATATTTTGAATTGAATTTGAATTGAATTGAAAAAATAATAGCGTATTTGCCATTCCGTTACCTGCATGTTTTTGTTGAGCACAGGCCTAGTGTGTGTACTATGTGTTTATTTAAATTGCGGTGATCAGTGAGGGCCCTAGTCATGATGCATATATTATTTTTATTTAATAGCATTGTTCTATTAGGATATTCTTAATATCGAATGTGTTATTCAGATTTATTTCTTCATTTTTAGATAAAAATTTACACACTAATGGACGCTTTATTACAAGTTTTAAATCAAACTAGATATTTCAAACTGCACCCAGAATTGAAATGGTCATTTTTAATTATCTTAGTGCCTATATTTTTGGGAATTATATATGCAATTGTAAAATTTTATATCGGTGTAAATGTAAGTATAATAATGATAATTTAATAATTAAATAACTCTGAATAATTAACACTGCGTTATCAAGTCCCATGATAAGCAGAGCTTGTGTTATGAGTACTAGACAACTGATATAAATACTTATATATAAATATTTTTTTGTAAATACATACATAATGTATATAGAAAACATCCAGACTGATACAAACAATCATACTCATGAATACAAATGTTTGCGTCGTGCGAGGAATTGAACTTGCGACCGTCGGAAGTAAAGCGGTGTTCTAAGCCGCTAGACAAGACTGTCACAAAAATTATTCTTCTGATGTATAAATTATAGATTATATATTAGAATAAAACATAGGCGTGTGAAACTAGAGCACAGCTAGTTTGTAGTAATAACGAGTACATATTCTTCAAAAATAATAAATTTATATAAATATAAACGTGTATTATATAAACTTCGTTTAATTTATCTTAGGATGGCTCGTCAATATTTCGCCCAAAGTCAAGTTTTGGGCCCAGAGACTTCACAATAAGGCAATGGAGAAAGCAATATGATTCTAGAGAGGTAATTATTATTCTATCTTTATTTATTTTACTAGATGTGCATGCGATTATATTCACATAAATTTATAGCTTATGTTATTCTGGTATATAATCTGTATTACTGTAAAGTTTCATTACAATCTGTTCAGTAGTTTTTGTGTGAAAGAGTAACAAACATCCATCTTTCCAGAAAAAAATATTCAATAATGTAACCAAGTTGTAGTTTTAAGTATGTATTGTAGTTTTGAGCTTCTAGCTTTCAAATTGGCGATACTTCCATATAATCTTTCATCTCTTCTTTTAACCCCTTTCAGAAAGTCAAATTTCATGTAAATCAATTCAGTACTTTTGGCGTAAAAGCGAGACGGACAGATAGATTGACAGTTACTTTAACATTTATAATATTACTAAGGATTATGTTTACAGTACGTGGGATCAGAAGCCTGCAAGCTCCTAAGTCGGTATATGATCAGCCAAGCGGAATCCAAAGCGTACAAGCTAGATGTAATGTACAACACAAGCAGATATTCCACTCCCGATGCTGGTTTTCGTACAGAGAAAGAAAAAAAGTAATTCAAGTTTCGAACGAAACAAAATACATGTGAATTTCTATATAAATAGATTAATTATGATGATTAGAATAAATAGATTAAGTTCGCGCTCGTGTATAGACAGTAAATGCTGATATTTGTACGGAGAAAGTAATTTTAAATTTTGATCGAGTCGAAATAAAATGTAACATTTCATAATTTAAAAAAAAATCTTATGAGAGCTTATGTACATAGTTCGCGAACTAACAAATTCGCGCTCCTGTGGACAGTAAATGCAGATTTTTGGACGGAGAAAGAAAGAGAGCAATTTCAAATTTAGAACGAGACGAAATAAAATATAAAATTTCATATTTTATGTTCGATTATGTACATAGTTCGCAGACTAACAAGTTGGCGCTTCTATAGGCCGTAAATTCTGATTTTCATACAGAGAAAGAAAAAAATAATTTCAAATTTCGAACGTTACACAATATAATATATGTGAACTTCCTTATTTTATTATTGACTAGCTGTACCCGCGACTTCGTCCGCGTGGAATTTAACTTTATTTTCTAAAATAAAAGTAGCCTAAGTTACTGCTTATTACATCAGCTACCTGCCAAAAAAAGTCCCGTTAAAATCGGTTCAGCCGTTTCAGAGATTAGCCGGAACAAACAGAACGACAGACAGACAGACATATTTTTGAAAAGTGGGTTTTTGGAGTATGTTCCTTATTTATATTCATATGCACGCAGTAAAAAACGGTTATTTAAATATTACAAACAGACACTCCAATTTTATTTATATGTATAGATTACGTGTATATAGTTCGCGAACGAACAAGTTCGCGCTTCTACGACAGTTAATGCCGATTTTTATATGAATAAAGAATAAAAGTAATTTCAAATTTCGAACATAACAAAATCCATGTGAACTTCTATAATTTATTTTGGATTAGGAATGTAGTTCGCGGACGAACAATTCGCGCTCCTATAGATTTGTAGTTCATATCACGGGTGTCATAGTGGCGTTCGTGTATGTAGCTTAGATACACGAACGCCACTATGGACATCACGTTATCACGTGTCTAACTCTATCACTATGAACACCACTATGAACGAACATAACAAAATACATGTAAACTTCTATAATTTATTTTGGATTAGGAATGTAGTTCGCGGACGAACAATTCGCACTCCTATAGATTTGTAGTTCATATCACGGGTGTCATAGTGGCGTTCGTGCTTAGATACACGAACGCCACTAAATATATTATCACGTCTCTCTATCACTATGAACACCACTATGAACGAACATAACAAAATACATGTGAACTTCTATAATTTATTTTGGATTAGGAATGTAGTTCGCGGACGAACAATTCGCGCTCCTATAGATTTGTAGTTCATATCACGGGTGTCATAGTGGCGTTCGTGTATGTCATAGTGATATGAGTTCACGTTATCACGTGATAACGAACACCACTGATATACATGTAAACATAATTTATTTTGTGGTGTTCGCACTCCTATAGATTTGTAGTTCATATCACGTAGGCGTTGGTTCCGCTTAGATACACGATTGCCATCACGTTATCACGTGTCTTCTTCACTATGAACACCACTATGAACGAACATAACAAAATACATTTTCTATAATATATATATTCGCGGACGAACAATTCGCGCTCCTATAGATTTGTAGTTTATATCACGGGTGTCATAGTGATAGAGTTAGACACGTGATAACGTGATATCCATAGTGGTGTTCGTGTATGTAGGCGCTGGTTCCGCTTATCACATTGCCATATTTCATTCTTCAAGAAGTTTTTTTTACTATATATATTAGGAGTTTTTTAGAAGTAACTTTTAGTTTCGACCATGAATTTTAATTAATACTAATAAATTTCAATTTCATAATATACATGTTTTTCTTACATCCTTTCAGTTCTGTTTGTTACATTTATAACGTTGTGACCTTTTGGATATATAAATCATCTTGTAGAAGCACTTCCTCCACGAGGGACAGGTCCGGACGTCCTCCTAACATAGTCTATAATATAGAGCTGGCTAAGTAAGCGCTAGTCACAAAGGATCGTCTCTACACTCTCCAAGTTATTACTAAGTAACTATATTCAAACCGTGACTTCGTCTGCATGACAAACAACACTACTTTTTAAATTATATATGTATATAAATTCTCTTTAAATTCTTAATCTTATATCCTAACCTAGGAGGAATTATGTGACAGTTTCCTCCTATGTTAATGTGTTGGACCGATTTCGGTGAATTTTTGTCTGCATATTTCAAAAGGTTGTCTGATATGAAAATATCATCAAATTTGCTAGGGGGTACTGGTCTAAATTCGAAGATAATTAATTCAACATTCACTAAGACTACAATAAAGAAAGAATAAGAACATACAAATAATAATAAAGATAAACAATATTAATCTATTTTGAATTTGACCATAGATTTTAACAATAAACAAAAAGGTATATTATTCAAATACATTTACAGCATATAATAATTTGCCTGTAGATTTAAAGGTTATTAGAAGTTTTTCACTATTCAAAAATAAATTAATATTACAGTCACTCAAAAAAAAAATAGTTTCGATCAATAATTTTTATGAATTGCACTTATATTCAAACACAATTGTATTATTGTTTATGAATAAATGACTATGACTATATAAAAGTACATTAAATCGATAAAAAAACATTACGCAAACGTAATAATAATAATAATAATCTCAGGACAATTCACACAGCGCCATCTAGACCCAAGTTATGCTAGCTAAAGCTTGTGTTATGGGTCCTAGACAACTGATACAAATACATAGATAATTTTTTTTTTTCGTAAATACATACATATTATACATAGAAAATACCCAGACCGATACAAACAATCATACTCATGACTACAAATGTTTGTGCCGTGCGAGGAATCGAACCCGCGACCATCGGACGGAAAGCGGTGTGCTGGACCGCTAGACCACCAAGGTCGTCAATTATTGTTTAAACGCGAAAAATTATTCAAAAATCGAATTCCGTGCGATGCATTCGATAATTGAATTCCTCAACAGTCCATCCATACGGTTATTAAATTATTTTCAATTCAACTTTACTACAAATTAAAGTCGACAATCGTATAAAGTTTAAAATTCAAATAATTCCACGAGTCTTTTACGAGTTGACGAACGAAATTTCTATTTTATCACATCGTTAACTCGGCGATTGCGGATCCAAATCTATTAATTCCAATGCTAAATATAGGGGCCGCTTTTATTAACCTATTATTTTTATTATATTCTAAAGCTGTAATCGACCTACATACAGTTTATTTGGATGCGAATATACCGTTTGGTTGTCGGTGTAATTAGCAATATATATTTCAACTGATAGCTTTCGAATTTCAAATATATGCGTTGCTTTAATAACTGCAAATACGTTATGAATTTGCACTTGTATTTTAATTAAATTTTGTTTACTTCATTTTGTAATAAGCAAATATATATGCACTATAGTTTTTTTTTTATGAAAAATAAATAAACACTTCGGAATTGTAATAGATAAAGTTATGTTCAAATTTATCTATATCGGTATCGTTGCTGATATGTCTCGGTGGTTCGGAGCTTCCTATGGTCACAGGTTCGTTTCCTTGCATGATGCAAACATCTATTTATGAAATTTTTTGTATCTGTATATCTAATGTATATATTAGATTCTTAATTTATAGACTATATACGCAAAATGAATAAATTTTCTTTCATTCTAAGATACAACGAAAAACAAATTGCAATATGAAGCTATATTACATAAATAAATAACCCTGGACAATTAACTCGGCGCCATCTAGTCCCAAGGTAAGCAGAGCTTATGTCATGGGTACTAGACAACTTACATAAATGATAAATCTATGCAATGTATTATCTAAAATACTAAATGTATCTGTTCCCAATGTGTACAATGTTTGTGAGGAGAAATAAATAAAAAATATTAGTAAATATTAAAAATATTAAATAAATACTTATATATTTTTTTGTAAATACATACATAATATACACAGAAAATACCCAGACCAATACAAACAATCATACTCATAAAAACAAATCTTTCCACCGTGCGAGAAACCGAACCCGCGACCATCGGAAATAAAGCGGTGTGCTAAACCGCTAGACTACCGAAGTCGTTTAATTAAATGAATGATATTACTCATTTCTATACTTGATAGTTAATCTGTGCATTGATAGTCAGTCATGATATACGATAAATATGAGTACAGTTGAGTACAGTGTACTCAAATTCTCCATCGGGTCTATTTGTCCACGAGTATGACGCGCGAAGTTATGTTTCAAATCTGTCATCACATAAATATTTATCAACGCCCCAATTACGTCCTGTCAAATGCAAATAAATCCATTTCGGCTCTACCAATCGCATTTCTGGTTACATTAATTAAAATGGCTGACAGGTCGTAATAAACAGTCAATGTATACATATACATATACCTTTAAAACACTTATCTCAGATGGCCAACAATTAATATTTCATAGTAGATTAGAATCTCACGTAACCCAGCTACTAGCGAGAGTACCGTTGTGATTCTGTCTAGCAGATTATTTTTGGCTTCTTACTGGTGTTACAATCCTCTGAATCAGTCAGTCTGATTCGAATACAAGATATTTGGAGCTAAGTCGTGAAAACGAACTACAAGGTCATGGTGCTCTATGTGTACAAATATATATAATAACCTGAATACGGAAGGTAAAAGTCAATGGCGATTTAAATAATATTTAGATCCTTCATCGCAATAACCATGAGGTACTGAAAAACCATAAAAAATACGATCTAATTGAGTACTTCTTTTAAGTTGATTAACAACTGTCTGCTATACTCACTATAGAACTTGCAGTCGCCAGAGATGTTATCTACAATACATGTCATCTATAAAAGCAATATATAATTACTACCATCAGTTTATACCTCAACGAGTTCCCTAGGTTTGATCGATAAAACAATTAAAACACTAATGAAATAATTTGTAATTATATTTATTATTAAGTAAAATGCAGTTATTGATTTAAAATAATGAACACGAAACAATAAAACAAAAGCATTCAACAGAATTCAGACTCTCAGCAACAGAATTCTCTATTTGAAAAGTTAATATATAATAAATAATTATTATTTAAAAATCGAACTAGAATTCATGCGAAATGCGACACATTCTATAATAATAATAATAATAATAAAACTCTTTATTGTGTACACGAAAAATAATAAGAAAATACAGTAAATAGTAAAATAATAACAAAAGGCGGTCTTATCGCTAAAAGCAATCTCTTACTGACAACCTAGAAGAGAGGACTTATGTACATAGAATAGGGTAGGTGGCACACATAAGACACTATTTATTATACTACTAGATATACATACTTACATTAGGGATAAATATATAAACCTACATATATA